ATTTCCCCTCTCTCCTCCTTTCCCATTCCCTCCCCCGGTCTACTATCTACTCCCACCCCCACCATCCACTGCTTGGAAAGGGTAAGGCCTCCCAAGGAAGTCAACAAACCATGTTCTATCAAATTGAGGCAGAACCAAGCTCCTCCCCCTGCATCAAGACTGGGCGAGGCATCCCAGTGTGGGAAATAGGTTCCAAAAGGCAACTCATGTGCCAGGGACAGGGCCTGCTACCACTGCTTGGGGCCCCACAAACAGAGCGCACAAACTCTGGACAGAGAGCTAGGAAGCCTGCAAGGGACTGACCTAGCCCCTCAGTATGTGGGTGATAGTTGTGTAGTTTGGAGGCATTTTCCTAACTGATGCTCTCCCCTCTCAGATGACTTTAGTATATGTCAAGGTGACATGAAACTACTCAGCTCACTCAGGATCTATCTGCTCCTCCTTCTTTCTCAGCCGATTAGCTTTAAGCTTTGACATTGTCTCAGCCTCCAAGAACTTCGTGGCAGCATCAGTAAAAGGCTGTAGTTAAGTTTCTACTGCTCACAGGAAATAGGATTGAAAATGGAAAATTAAATCCAACTAAAGGAAAATAGTAAAAAAAAATATTTCCTTTAATTTATACTCAAAGATTTGTAGCTGATAACTTGCCACAGCTATATAGGCCTGATGGATCAATTGGGTTTTCTAGGGATATCTCAGAAGCCACACTACTGGGCTGAGGCCCACCAGTGGGAGTTAATGACTGGCTAATGTCCCTTCTTCCTTCATATCTGTGTTATTCAAAGTCTATCACTATCGCAAAATACCTGACTATTTCAGAACGCTGTCTCTGGACATACCATAGCTATTTCTATCTTGAAATCTTTAAAATCAGGGTAGGTATGAGCATCAGGAGACCCTTACAAGATTGGACCTATTCATACTTTCTCAAGGAAATTGGGGAGGTTTAGGAGGTATTGTAAGATCATGAGACTTCTTCCCAAGGACAACTGAGTGCTTAACGTTCGCTGAGAGGGCAGGAGATTCTCTCCTTATATGGAAAGAATTTCAACTCATTAGTTCACCAGTTAGGCTTGAGTAGATCAGTGTCCTGCCTAACTTAATAGCACGTCTCTACAGAAAAGGTCATGCAATACTGAGATCATCAACTTAAGGGAAATAACTTATTTCTCATTTATTTTTAAATGCTTTCGTTCGTATCACTTGGCCCTCTTGCTTTGGGCCCATGATGGCTTAGTATATCATAGCAGGGGGTTTGTTGTGAAGGAGGCCTACTCATCTCCCAGTAGGCAAGAAGAAAAGAGGGAGATGGTTGGTCCAGGGTTCCAATATCTCCTTCAAGGGCATTTTTCCAGTGACCTAAGATTGTTCCACTAGATGTCACTGGCTAAAGGTTACCTGACCTCTTGACAGTGCCATGGGCTGCGCTCTAAGCCATTGACACACAGGCCTTTGTGCGGTTTTCAGGCTTCAGACTATGACACCTTCTACCTTCTTCACAGCATCTGAATGGCTTAAGGGAGTCAGAAAGCACTGATTCCTCTCTTCTCCTCTCACAGGGCATCACTGCTTGACAGGGGGTCCAGAACAATTCCTACCGAAAATGTCAGTGTTGTCAAGATGACGCTTATGTAAACAACCAGAATTTTTGCTGATCTGGTGGAATTTGATATTTCTTGGGGGCTATTCTTCTCTTAATAACACTGTTCCAATTTTGTAATAAGAATTACTTGGGTAATTGGGGTTAATAGGCAGAAATTTCCTTTCCAGGCTTGCTCTCTCCCCACAGAGCCTTTGGACTGATCTCATGGAGAGTAATGACTTTGGGGCTGCAGCCATTATCATTAGAATTTGAATAAAGAGAAAATTTCCTTTTTTTTCCTCTAATAAATACTCCCTCAAATGGACATGTATGCGATGGAAAGAATGTGGGATTCAGTGGCAGGATTGCAGAGTCTGCATTAAAAGAAAAAGTGAGTTTAATTAGAATTCTTGTGCAGGGGACCTACAGGCAAACGGCCCTACGTACTTTATTCATGAAATAGGAATGATACAGTCTAATGTACAGATTTTTATTAGGTAATATATATGACAGTTACTTCTAAAGTGCTATATAAAAGTAAGGCATTATTGGGCAGCTAAGCAAAGTTAAAAGCTTTAATAAACCTTCCCTTGACTGACTGTATGAAGACACTTTCTTTTACCAATGTGCAAACAAGACATGCTCGCCTTTAAAAGTTAGGTTTTTGAGATTAAATGGCTTAGGAAGCAATAAAGATGATCTAATATGTCAAGGGAGACATTTAAAAAAAAGGAATAAGTATATTGCAGAGAGAAGTAGGAGACAATCTACTTCTTTTAAAGAGCCATATCTATTCATAGCATATTTGGAAAAAGTATTGAATCCAGGAATATGAAACCTAAAGAAGCACTATGAAGAATCATGGTGTCATTCCATATAAACTGTTTAGTGGGGCAAACTATTATTAATAATGAGACAGTAAGTCACATAGCCCTTGATGAAGGGTATGTGTCTGTTTAGTCTTGTGCTGTGCCTTGTCACATTGATCTGTGCCTGAAGAGTCGGTGCACACACAATACAATACAAGAATGAACATCCAAGTCTAGCACTTAATATCTGAGCTGTGTGAGCAAGGCTTGCTGATTCCAATTTAAGAAAGGAGATAAGAGTTAATTGTCACAGCGGGCTAAGTCTTTTAGCTTCTTAACCCATTGCAAATTTTGAAAACCCCAAGAACAGAAGGCTCTTCCCAAATGTCCAAAGTGAGGATTCAACCAAACTTAGTGTGAAAGAGATTACCGTCTTCGTTAAGGAACTTTATCTCTTTGGTTTGGGATAGTACATTGGCCAACATTACTCTATTGGTGATGCCTTCTTAGGGTATTCCTATGTGGGAGTCCAAGGTCTTAAGAAATCAATAATATGGCAATTGATTAGCTATACTTGCCATGGAATTGGAGTCAGAGATGGTAGACAAAAGCCTGTTAAAATGGTTTTTCACCTGAAACAAAGATTGAACTTGTAAATGATTTCTGACTTTCTCTTTTGATGATATCTTCATGATTGTGGAATGCAGTTTGTTATAGTGGTTGAAATTGGGGGAAGGCTTTGGAAAAAACAGCATGAGGTCGACTGAAATTGAAGTTATGGATGGCAAAGATTCTTAGTGCTCAGTAGTTATACATGTGCTAGTATCTGTATCCTAACTTCTTCCCACATAGTTTGGGGTTGACTGGCAGGGGTATCTTGGAGGCAGTGGTGCATCCCAGGGCATCAGTAGAAGAGGGAGAAAGGCCCCAGATGCTCTCATGTCTCAAGAGTGAGAAACCAATACTATTGAGACTAGACTGTTTCGGTTGTGACAAACAGGCTTGTTTCCCCCTAATCGTAAATAAAAACATAAGGGAGAGTGGCTTATTATGATGAGTAGGAAAGGTTCATCTTATTTAAATATCTGCCTATTTCTTGAAGAGGCTGCCTTGTGCACTCTGCCTCTGTTACCATATTGGGTTAGGGAAGTTGGCCAACATCCTTCAGTCTCTGTTGGCTCTACCTATGCTTAGGGGTGCCACAGTTTAGAGGGTGGAGGTGAGGTGATGGTACGAGGCAGGAAGAGACGTTGCTCTGGAGACCACTATGTACTAGTGAGCAACATTCCTAGTCTTCAAAAAGTGTATTCCTGACAGCCTCATTTTCTTTTGTAGGCGGCTTCTGTTTTTGAATGCATTACCTTCAATCCAACTGGCAAAATAACAAACACAAGGAAAAACAAAACAGCAATAGTAAGTTTCTATTGTATCCATCCTGTTTGATATCGTTTGAGTTTTCTAAGTCTAGCCCTCTTTAGGGACTTCAACTGAGACCAATTATAATGCTTAAGCATCCCTAAATTTTTCTTTCCCTTGTTAGTCGTTTGATTTCTTGTCCTTTGAGTGAGAGATGTCTACAATAGGGTTACATATTTGAACGCTTGGTCCCCAGTTTGATGACTCTGTTTGGGGAGGTTGCAGAGCCTTTAGAGGTAGAACCTTGCTGGAGGAAATATGGCTTTGGGGGCAAAGCCTTTGAGGCTTTGTAGCCCTGCCCCTCTTCTAGCTGAAGAGGTTGGCTTTTTGCTCTGGCCACCTGCTGTCATGTCCCCTCTAACACTATGGCTCTCCTTCTGGAACTGTAATCCAGAAGAAATTCTTTCTTCCCTAAGTTGCCTTTGGTCATGGTGTCTTATCACAGAGACCAAAAAGTAATGCATACACCTCTCTTCCTGAGAGGAGGGAGAGCACCCGACTCTGGCTGACTGTTGACCATTCCATGGCACACCGCGCACATTCTTCACAGAATACACAAGGGATGAAGAAATGCACTTCTCCTTGGTACTGCTATGAGCTCTATCAGTTAAGATAATTCTCAAACAGCCTCTGTGAAAATAGGGGGCAGCTTAAAAAGAAATAAGATGTGGAGCATTGCAGCTCCAAATGTCTGGAAAGCATGTCATTTCGGATCAGGATGCTGGATTTTATTTTCATTTTTACCCCAGTCTGGCTCTTGCTTTTTCTTTCTTTCTTTTTTAAGTGATAGATCCACAAACCATTGTTTCTGAAGGAGTAAGATTAAGGATGAAGATTTGGAAGGAACACAAATATAGAACTGTCACTTTTTTTTTTTATCTGAAGCAATTACTGTGGGGACAAGCACCCTTCTTCTCAGTACAGCAGCCCTATAAATAACAGCAGGATTCTTAGTGTCCCGGCAGTGTGATGCAGCACCGGTGCTTCAGACTGCCGGCTGGGAGAAACGATGCTTCATAAACGATGCTACTTACCGCATATGCATAACAAATTTGCTTTAGTTAGCTATTCGAGAAGTTGAAATACTGAATTTAGAAAGTCAAAGTCTATCAAATATGTTTAAAAAAAACCAAAACAAGCAAAAACCTCCCTGATTACAAACAATAGTTGAGAGAATTGGGGAAAAAAAAAAACAAGTTAGAAAAAACAGTTTATTAAGTAATGTCATATAAATAACGTTACAAAAATTGATTTGCAAAAGGCATATTTACTCTTTGTGAGAAATCACTTTTTCAAGTTGCATTCTTTTCAAATTTATAAGACTAAGAAAAGAAAACCAAATAAACAGAGCCGTGTCAAGGAGTGTGTTATCTGTCATTTGACTACAACACAAGGCCCAGCCACACTGCACTAAAGGGTCACTGTTTGCACCCCTCTCCTCTAACACAGAGACCTGTCATGTAAAGGGTGAGGTTACTAAGGTCTGCCTAGCGAGATGCGTTGACTGAATGCAGCCCGATTGTCTTCATCCACCCTCTCCTCTTGCTGAAGATGCAAACAGACAGAGGGCTCCAGGCAGTCTTCGAGCATGGCATAAGCTTCAATTTGTACTTGAATTATTTTTTAATTAAGTACAGTTGGTACCAGAAGCCTTTATTTTCTTGGTTTTAGGAATCACAAGTCACAGTAAGAGAATGCCAAACTGCCTTAGTTTGGTATTACCCAAGATGCACACAGCATTTATCACAAGGCCTATTCGGATGTAGCCTCCTTTCAAAGCAGTGAAAATAATTGCAAACAGAACAGCACAGTGGGCTTGCCATGTTCCTGTGTTCTTCTGAGCAGATCTATGAGACATTTGCTACACAAGCATTCCCCGGGACTGCTGCATGATCCTACATATGGTTTTTTTTCTGTTTTTAATAAACACTAAACTAATAGATCATAGAAAACTAAAAGGTTACAGAAGGTGCCTCAGATATATTTACATAAATAGCATAGCCTCACAAGAAAGACGAAGCTCTCACTACAGTGGGACGCTTTCTTTTACAACACTGAGTCCATGCCTCATTTGTCAAATAACCTCATTTGAAAGGAAATTTGGGTTTGTGGTTCATGTCCCCCCCCACCACCCCAATGGTATTAAGCAACTCGTAAAAGGTCTTTTGAAATTAATCTAATAACCTGGTGTCTCCTCATCTAAGTGCCCAGTCCCATATGAAATATGGCACGTAAAATAACCGTTGCTTCCCTTTGACGTCCTTTAACACCTTCAACGGCTGGCTCTGTCAGGCTAACATTTCCCCCAAATTAAAAAATGAGAATGCATCATAAATAACGTATTGCAAAATGAGGAGATTAAAGATTGTCTTCGGCAATGCTTAAATTAAATCGATGCTGCAGAGACCATAAACTCCTGGCTTTAAGAATGAGCTATTTCTTTTCTAACTTTAGGCAAGTGTGTGAGCCAATGTATTTGCTTTCTCAGAGGGCCTTGCTCTCTGCGTTGAAGATAGTCAGGGTCTGGTATTTTTAGTAGAGAATTATCCCCCTTGAGAACGGTTCCATGAAGACAACAAAGGAAGATTTAAGATGCTGCAACCATGATCGTCTCTGAACTCTGGTGAGATCATCGTGCCATTCCATTCTGTGGAAAAGAAACATGCTTCTCCGAGCTTAGGACACAGCCCATCTTCCCGAAGACTCACACACCAAGTATTGCTTTCTCTCCTCTTATCTGATAAAGAAGGTAGGGTGTATTGTTAATTGAAATTCAGTGACCTGCCTGTATCTTGAGCCTACTTCTACAATATGACAATTCAAAACTGGTTTCATCTAGATAATGTAAAAATTAAAATAACACTAAAATGATTTATAAAAATAGTACATGTCCCTCCAAATGGCAGAGATTTTGACTTTTTAGTGTGTTCTTCCAAAGTAATTATGCTGCTTCAAACCTAGTAACCAGGGACTGAGAGAATTCATTTGGTGGCTGTATAACTGGGGACAAGAGATTGGTTTGATGAGGACAAGCACCCCGTTCAAATATTTAGCTTGCACCCAGGAATCAACTCTGCTTTTTCTTTCTCACTATGTGCTTATAATGTGCTCAGGGCTGCAGAATCTAAGAATTCCCCGTTAATATCTTATAAATCATTCTCCTCGAGAAAATACTTGCTTCAGGATAAAGTCTTCTATGTAGAACACTGTTCGGGAACACACAGTACACAGATTATATAAAGGAAACATTAGGGACTTATTTTGACTGCTCAAAACTTGGATGCTTCTAAGCTCCAGAGTCAGTTCTTGTATAACACTCTGAGAAGTGGAAATGAGAACTAAGCCACATATTTTTATCCTGAATTAAAATGAAATCACCAGCTTTGTTCCATCTGAAAATAGAGTGATTCTCCAGTTGAACCTCCAGAATGTAAAACCAGGGAAGCTGTATTTACAGCACCCAGATTTCCTCTCTTAAGGTCTTGGGAGATTGTCCTTGCCTCTTTCTCATTTGATTTCTTTACTTATTTGAGGACCAATGTTTTCAGAGTTCCTGAAGAAAGTGGATGGAAACTGAGGGAGTTTCAACCTCACTCACAATGGCTTACGGTTCTTTAAAGTCCCAGCTTATTCTAGGAAACAGCGGAAGAAGTTTGAATAAACTTTCTGTTGAAAAGAGGTTTAAAAAAGTTAGCCAGGAATCAGGGCTCGTGGAGCAGCCCTTACTGCCAACGGATCTGCTTGTGTTCAACAAAGAAAACGTTAGATCTGGACCCCTCCTACTCCTGTGCCAGCCTCATTGCCTGGGTCTAAGACCAAGACACAAATAATGTGAGAACTACTTCTCCTCTCCAGAACAAAATTTCATGTTGACTTAGGATTTATCACAGAAAGGAATCTGTCCATGAGGACACTTTTGACCTGGAATTTTGATGGGAAGAAAAAATTACAGAGAGAGAAAGAGAGATGGTTGGGCTTCTCAATCTTTGTTTGACAATTCTTAGGGGTAAGTGTCTGAAGTTAACACCTATAGACCTTGAATAATCCTTTTTTTTTTTTTAGATTGGATTTACCAACAGTCTTCGTGATAAGACATTAAACAGTTATTTTAATGTCAAGTCATATTTTCTACTCTCGATACAATATGTGATTTCCAGCGTGGGATCAAAAGGCTCTGGCTAATGATATCTCAAGTAGCCTGACTCCCTTTCAGTACATACTTGCACTCGGAGGGAGAGGTCAACTTTTCCCCAAAACGTTGGAAATTGCTATTGTCAACTCTTAGAAATTTCACACCAAATTTCACACCAAAAGCTCAAAAGGGCAACTTTTGATGATACCTTTCTTTTTAAGAACTGTTTCTTGGTTCAGTTTGTCACACGATATACGATACAAGATAGAGTACTCTAATTTTACAATCAATTGTGCAAGGTGCTGTTCTCATGCTATATCTAGGAGCCCGCTCTTTCAAATACTTACCTGTGAATATAATGCATACTGACCCATTTTAGTGAGCCATCATGTAGCATTGTTTGGATTCTTTGGTGTGTGTGTGTGTGTGTGTGTGTGTGTGTGCCTGTGTGTGTTTGTGCATGCATATCAATGTGCATATGAAGAATTAGGAAAAGAAAACCCTCAGAGATGGGAATAGCCCAAACGTGAAGTACTCGTGACTCTTCAGGGCATTTCATCACAAACAAGAAACCATTCAGGAAATACAAAGGGCAATATAGTTGTAATTTTTTTTTAAACCATAATCCAAATTCCACATTTCTCCCATTTTACAGGTGCCATCTTTACTTCCTGGGTAAAAACTATTTAAAAGCCAACTAAACAACAGTGTGTTTCTAAATAGAAAATGTGTTGATAAAACATTACCCTCAAATGGAAATGATGCTAAGATTATCTCTATAAAATTAACATGAACTAAAATAAATCCCTATGACTAATAAGAGAATCAGGACATTCTTAAGTATATATTATATATGTATATACAGAGCCTTTTAAGAAAAGTCTTCAAATGAGGATGTTTCATTACAGTACTTTGGACATTTCTGATGACCGCACAATGCGAGACCCTAATGATGACAGTCATTAGACCATCCGAATGAAATAAATGAATTGAACCTGCCAGAAGCTTGGTTAAGTTGGGTCCCCTGGATAATAACTGACTAAGAGAGTCTAATTGCATAATTAGAGCAATAATAGATTGAATGGATTTTATATTACTTTCCTGTCTTAGTTGAGACCATTGCTTTATCATCAGTTCAAAGACAAAGATGGCGGCTTTGCCACAGAAGCCAACTTAGGAACAGTGGGGAAACAAGACTACTTTCGGAAATCGGCTGTCAGTTTCCCAAGAGTCTTAAATGTTTTTTTGCTGAAGGCAATCCAGGCTCTTCTCTTGTGGGCATTTCAGAAACATGGCGTGCAGGTTCTCAGCGACATCTCTGTGCCATTCATTTACTCCCTCGTTGCAGTGTAAGTACAAGGATGTCTCCGAAGGCAAAGGGCAGGGATTAGGTTCCGATGTGACTAGGTCTAACTTTCCCCTTGAACTCTAGGGTAGGATATTTAATCTAACCTTACTAAGTCGAGTTAATTATATAAGAAGTATTTGAAGACTATGAATTATTGTATTTCACACGGCTACTCTCAGGTATAGCAGAATAATAGTAACAGCAACTACAGACAAAACAAGTTACCGTCTGCCTCAGGAAAGTCTCGCAAGAACTTCTGGGTGATTATACCTGTGTCTCATTAGTTTCACTGATAGCTGAAAGAATTAGGAATCTGTGACATGTTGGTGGCCCAAAACTTTGAAATTTGCTAAATATTTCCTCTGTTAACGGTTTAAAGCTATTTCTCTTGTTCCCTTTGTTTGGCACAATGGTGACCTTCCAGGTGTGTCACACGCAACAGGTGATGAGTGTCAAGGAACACAGCCTTACTCTTTGCTACCGTCTTTGAACTTGAACTTCACCGTTTGATTTGCCTCCAAATCACCTTACCATATGGAAGGACTTGATGCTATGAGTAGCTGGTGCCAGAAACACCTCTTCCAGCGCAGACAGGATGCCCCAGATGGCACTTCACACCCTTACCAACCCTTCCGTAGCTAAGGATCCCCTCGAGAGTTGATTGACCAAGAAAAATTTCCCAATTGTTCCCTCCTTTTCTGTTTTTGTTTTATACTAAAACTATATTTTTATCAGTAAAGTCTGATCCCTTCCCCCTTAGCATGTGAGATGTACACTTGGAGCATTCAGCTGGCCTGAGGCCATGAACAAGAGCAGCGTCCAGGCCAGCAGTAAGGAATGTGTGGCCAACCTGCCCTAAGAGAACAAGGAAAAAAAAAACCCCACTGTTCCCTCCTCTCCTCCCCCGCGGGCCTGCTGGGCTTACTTGGTTAACTACATGAACTAAAAAATAAAAATTTGCCTCTTGGAAGCTCATAAAAGTGTACTAGAAAAAAAGTCTCTAACATTGGATCCGCACAGACTGCAGCCATTGACGTTCGGAACGGGTACAAGAGAGAACCCTTTCACGGGAAGGTGGATAAATAGAAAGAAATAGCCACTTCGCATGTTCCAGTGTCATAATAGGAAAATGAAAAAGGCAACAGATTAGGAGTCTTTGTCACTGTCCATCCCTCCGTACATATCCGCTAGCTTTTTGAACCGAGGACCCCAGTCACTCAAATAGTCATAATCTTGGTCTCCATCTGTGGTCACTGACTCGAGCGAACTCAGCGAGTCGGCCACCGAGCCGGTGCCCTCGTAGGCATAGGTGGCCAAGGAGTCGTAGGGTGGGGCTGTGGGGTCTGTGTCATTTTCCTTTAACCTTTGGTTAATAAAATCTCTGACATCAGTGTTGTCGCGAGCTGTTGGAGTCCGTCTAGGTAGAAAAAGAGCTTCCGGCACAATGTCCCTGCGCGATTTGCTGTCCTCCATGGCTTCGGGGTTCCTCAGGGTTCCGATATCAAAGGCCTGGGTGTCCTCCTCTCCACCACCTTCGTCGTTGTAACTGACAATGTTATCTCTGATGTCCTCTTTGGAAATGATCAAAGGCTCTTTCTTCCGCTGCCGCCTCAGAGCTGCGAACAGCACCACGGTCACTGGAAGCAGAAAGCAAAACAGAAGGGAAGGAAAGTTAATTTGTCATCCAATTAACACGGAAAAGAACCCTTGCTCCAACCTGCCGCTTTAAAACTTCTCTTGAAAACACAGGCTCAACTTTTTCCGGCGTTAAGAATCCATTTGTCTTTATCCATGATCAGATAAGGACCCCAGAATGGAGTGTTTTAAAGAAGGCTATATAATTTAACCAGATGATAAAATGCCATCTTATTTTGACAGTATTTCCTTCTTTTTTTCCCCCTTTGAAAAGGCAAAGTAATTTTAAGGTAGGAAAAGTAATAATAACAATAATAATTTTTTTTGAACCACAGAGAAAGTACTGCGGTAAAAGTGCAAATTATGCCAAGCACCCAAAATGCTCCAAAACTGGCTATAAAGGAAAGGCTGGCACCTTTGGGAAGTGTGGAAGGCTTTGCATAACTCCACATTTAAAATAACTATTGCGCTACGCCTTCCTCTTCCCCCACCTGAGAAAAGTGCAAAATTAGTTTAAAATCCCAAGCAGAGATGTGAATGTTTGCATACCTTCCCACATACAAAGAAATATTAGTACAGATAAAACCCCTGAGAGACCCAGATTCCGAAAGCTACTCCGGGTCCTGAGCTCAACCAGGTAAATAGGGCAGATAGAAATACACTTTCCCTGTGATTTGTGTTTGAGTTAGATAAACATATTTATATGAGATTTCACTATCAAAGACTTATGTCCCACAAGTTTGTTAGCTAGAATGTCTGTTTCACAGATATGTTCTTCTTCTTCTTTTTTTTTTTCTTCTAGCTCAAATTAGAGGCAAAACAAAAACCGCATTTTTGCATTCTCTTCACAGCTGGTTGGTAGAACAAAGCTGGCTGCCTGTAGAGAGACACATCTACCTGCAAATGGGTAGATGGCTGGAAAATAAGAATTTGTAACAGCTTACAGAGGAAGCGGCCGCCCAGCACAGGCAATGCATTACCAGTCCTTGTTTGTCCAGTGATATTTACTACGGGAAGCCCTAGCAATGTCTCTACTGCATCACCCGTTACACGGTCCAGTTTTTGTATGCCATGAAAACGGAATTCTTGCCATGAGATTTAGGAGACAAGTGCATCTTCCTCCTAATGAACAGATTTATCCCTTTAGACATTAACAGTATTGCTACTTGGCTTCTGAGAGTAAGATGTCTATGTACCAATTACTGTGCTAAGTGCATTTCGTACTCAATCCCACTTAATCATCATAATCATCCTATGAAGTAGGAATCATAGTGAAAAATCCAGTTTACCAGAGAAGAAATTGAAGCCGAGAGATGTCACATGCAGCAGGCATTCAAATCCAGGTCCACCAGACTAAAAGAGTTGTGCTCTTACCTGCCATGCTGGAAGCGTATTGGGGTGACTGTCCCTTTCCTAAGGAAATTCAACTTTGCCATTCTCAGGTATGTGGCTGTGTAACTGTGCACACTCTCTGTTCTTGTCAGGGAGTGTCCCGATGCCTCCATTGTCTCATCGACCTAGGGGATCCATCCATTCTTTCAATAAGTCATTGTGTGGTGCCTGCTTTGTGTCAGGGACAGTTCTAGGGTACTACCCGTATCACGTGCGCATCAAAGGCCTGCCCCAGAGCCTGGGCAGTTGCGTGGGGACGGTGCGATGGAGACAGAAAATAAAACCACATGTATAACAAGTCAGGAAAGTATTAGAAGATGTTAAGTGCAATGCAAAACCAGAAAAAGCAGAGGAGGAGGCCAAGGTGGATGGGGAGGGTTTTCTCTGTTCGTTCCATGGGCTCTGCATTTCTGCACCATCTCAGGAAAGATGGAGCAGGAGTGGAGGTTATCCAAGGTGCTCTCTGACAAAGGGGAGACAGCAACAAGAAAAGCCCCTAGGGAGATCTGTGTCTGTAGTATATGGAGGACAGGCAAGGATCTCGGAAGCTGGGCCAGAAGGAACCGAGTAGAGGCGTAGGGAAGAGTTATGTCTCCTGGCACCTTGGTGGCTTTAGCAAGCTTTCACTTCTACCTTGGTGGGTTGGGAATGGAGACTTCAGAGCTTAGGGATAATCTCCTTTTACACTGCTTTCCAGTGTGAAGTGGCATGGGTTTGCAAAACAGGAAAGTAAGGAAGGGTGACATTGGGGATTAGAGGGTGTTCCCTGGCCATCTGCTCTTAAAGAATTCAACGTTAATGCACATGAGTTCTTTCAGTCATTAACGGTCAGACAGCAGGCATTTGTCACTCCCTGATTCTCCAGATTTAAGTACTCAGGTTTTTAAATCTCAGTCCTGCGTTCACCTGAAGTTACAGCTTCATACAAGTGAGACGGGAGAGGGTGTAATCTACAGTCATAGGTACTCAGCCCTCAGCCACGATTTAATTCTATGGCCAAGACTACCTATGCCTCTTATCAGCCCCACGTTCATCTGATGTCTTGATGAAAACTGACTTTTACAAATGAGGACTGGACGGGGGCAGAAGCATGTAAAACAGTGCAATATATTTGTGGAGAACAGTCTCTTCTTCCTCATCCTCCTGGGGCCAGAGGACAGCAGCAAGATTTTGGGGGTGGGAGAGGGAAGATGATCAAATTCGTGCTCCAATCCTATTAGAGAACCAGCAGCTCTAACAGTCTGACCTCTGTAAAAGGGAGGCAATACCACACTGCCAGGTGCTGTCATGAGGAACGAGTTAAATGTGAAGATTTTGCAAAACTCTAAATTGCTATATAGATTAGATGTAGCTACTGTTGGGAAGCCTAAACTATTTCATTTAATATTTGTACATGCATATAATGTGTTAGATCAACTCTGTCCAAATCCCCTCCCTTCCAACTCCTCCCCTACACACCCTCAAACTTTCCTTTGAATGCTTTTACTGTTTTCTTTTAGTAAAATACTGGATGCCTTTGGATTCACCCAGGGACATCTGTGGGGTGGGCAAGTGCCCTGCCCGCAAATCACACCTGTAGGCCAGGCTTACTTCTGTACCAGATTTCCTCATGTATCAGTGTGGCTTTCTTTCTCTTTCTACCTCTCAGGTGTGCCTCTAACCTCCACAGTGGCCCCCGTTGAAGTTTTCTGTCTCTTTCAGCCTGGAATGCACTGCGTTTCAAAGCTCACAGGGAAACGGGGGATGGGGGGCGGGGGGATGGGAGTGGGGTGGAGGGGATGGGATCCCCGCACCAGCCTGGAAAGAAAGACCTGGGCCTAGGACTGAGTTCTGCCATGTGTTCCGCATGTGACGTGGCCACACACCTTAGTTCACACCCTGCTGCCTCAGCTTTCATATCGAAGACGCAGGTAAATCCACCCCAGGTAGTTCCGAAGAGCCAGGGGAACATTTGTGAAGCACCTCACACAGCGTCTAGTCTGTGGTGCGAACCTAGTTAAGCTAAAACTCAGTTTCTAAAAATCTTTAAAAAAATTATGTACAGAATTCCCCAAGCACCAGACAAGGTGTGGGAGGTCCTGGAGCCAATTAAGAATAATGAAGAGACAGTGAATTTATTGGCGAAAAAAATATGAAAGGGGAAAAGGAAACGAGCGGGTTAGAAGGAAGAAAGGAGAGAAGAGAAAATGGACCAATGCCTGAAGGTCTCTAAGTCAACATGCCACAGAGTTACTTGCTCTCTGCACAATTTCCAGGAAATGGAGCCAGCCTAGATGTCTAAATAGATGAATAAAGAAAACATGATCCATACACACAATGGGATTTTATGCAGCCGCAAACAAAAATGAAATCATGACATTTGCGGGAAAATTGATGGAACTGGAGATCATTATGTTATGTGAAATAAGTCAAACTCAGAGTGGATCCTGTATTTTCTTCTACATAAAGAATCTGAATTAACATTGTATATGCTCACATATATGTGTGTATGTCTTTATATGTGTGTGTGTGTGTTTACTTGCATATAGCAGTGTAGGTTTCAAAAAAAAAAAAAAAGAAAGGCTCTAATAAGAGAGGAGGTGGGTAATTGAATATACGGAAGGGAAGCAGAAGGGGACCAGCTGGGGCAAGGGTATGGTAGCAGGGAAGGGAGTCAGAACCAAGTGCGAGGACGCAAATGTGTGGAGGGATTATGATGAAATACATTGCTTCGTATGATAATCTTAAAAACAATTAAAAATGTAAAAGAACAGGACAGATGACTAGTGAGAGGAAGGGGAAGGACTAGCAAAAGGAGAGCTGCCTCTCCTTCCACAGGCACGGCTCCCCTGCCCCAGGTTGTCCAGATACTCCTTTTAGATCAAGATCAATGATCCAGTCCTCCAGGCTTTACAGACTCGCAGCATTAGGGATGCTGATAAGTCTTTGCATGCTGTCATTGCTGTATGCCTCCCGATCTCAAAACACTTCGTTCAAATCTTGCTGGAGAAGATCATGGTTCTAAAGTTGCGTTTCCCGTCTTCTCTTGTGATTGACAGCATTGATGAGTCAGGCGAAAGGTCTTTCTTGTAGAAATGCAGGCCCCTTTCCTATGCTTCTCTGTTGTTCAGGCTTCTTTATTAGAAGAGGGTTTTCTTCTGTGCAGTCTAGGTTACTGCTTTCGTGTTTGCTTTTTAGAGAGGGTCTTGTGTACCTTGAGCTGGCCCAAACTTACCACGTAGCTAAAGATGACCTGGGATTTCTGATCCTTATTTTCCCCCCTTTCAAGTTCTGCGATTACAGGCATGTGTTGAACTTTGATTTTTTTCTCTAATTTTATAGGCAAGATTGTAAATATGCATCTTGTTTATATTTTTAAAAAGTTCATTTATGTCCATGGGTGCTTTGTTGCTGTGTAACTTGTGCACCACGTGTATGCCTGGTGCCCTTGGAAGCCAGAAGAGGGTGTTGGATCTCTTGGGAATGGAGTTTGAGATGATTGTGAGAGCTGGCATGTGAACACCTGGAATACAGCTTTGGTTTTCTGGGAAGAGCAGCCAGTGCTGAGTCATCTCTCCAGCCCCTTTTTTCTCTTGTGGAAGAGTTACTTTGGTTGATATTTGAATTTTTACTTGAGCAACAGTTAAAGGTTTGTTAAACTTTCAAACTCAGGTTTTTGGCTCAATTAGTTGGTTGGAATAAAAAAAAAAACCATCATTTGTATCATTGCTAGACTTTATGTTGCTTTCTGTCTCTTTGAGAAAACTCCTGGGAGAAACAACTTAATAAGGGATGTATCTTGGCTTATGGATTCCGAGGATTTAGTTCAAGGTCTCTTGTATCTACTGCTTTGGGCACTGGGATGAGACAAAGTGTCATGTTGGTAGGAACATGTGGTGGAACAAGGTGGGCAAGAGTCAGAGAGGAAGGGTCCGGGGACAGATAGCTCCTTCAAAGGTGTGCCAGGTAACATAAGCCCTTCCACTGGGTCCCAGATCCTAGCAGCCCATTCATCTGTGAACGTATCAATGCTTCAATCATTTGGTGAAGTGAGCAATTCCTGGTCCAGTTCCCTTCCAGCTGCACCACCACTCGAGGACAATACCTCCAACATATGAGCTGTTGAGGGGAAGATGCCGTATCCAAGCCATCCCAGATCTTGTGTTTCCCTTTCATTACATTCATTTCTTTGGGGGCCCAGAATTTGCTTCCTGATGTCAAGAGTTATTTATTAACAGTCTGAAAATTAGTAGACATTGTGTGTGTGGTAAACCGAGAGCAGCTCTAAGTGGGTAGTTATTCCATTGTGTAGCTCAAAGTAAGTTTGTTGCTTTAAAGAGATTGCCACCATTTTATTTTTTCCCCCTGGGTAGGAGAGAAAAAGTCACTATCTTCCTTTTTGCAGGTTTCTGTTGATCTCTAATGTTACCTTTGTAAAAGGGGTCGTCATCAGATGCGCCATGAAGCACGACTTGTACTCTTCAAAAGTTAATTATCAGACAACACACAGAACAAGCAGGGTGTGGATATATGTTGCTTTCTAATACCCCCTGAGATGCAGTTCGGTATGATAGACAACATATTCTTTTGGCAAAATGGTACCCTGGGCAAGCAAAGACATGGGCACATAGTACATCTGTTCATTCTCCAAAGCAAAAACGAGTTCATGTTTGAACAACACAGATTCTCAGCATATAGCTCTACTCACCTAGATCAGGCTGTAAGCCTTAATGGGGGAGGCGGAAAAATCTAGAGTGTCACAGTAACAGTGTGTGCCCCTCACCAAGGGGAGAGAGGATGCGGGGAGGAGCAGTTTACCTAGTAGGATCAGGATGCACAGAAGGATGGCCACCAGAGCCCCTGTGCTCAGCCCTGTGGGGTGGATGAGGGCCTCGGCGTGGCAGGACTGCATGTTCCCATGGTGGTCACATGCACAGACCCGGACAGTCACTGTCCCAGTGCTGCTTTGGACTGGGTAGTCGTTGTCTGAAATGACCACAGGCAGGAGATAGGTGCTCATCTCGTGTCTGTTATAGCCATTTTTCCGAGTTAGGATTCCTGCGGTATTGTCTGGAAGCAGAAAGGAAAACGGTGAATGTGTGTAGCTGCTACATCAGGCATTGAATAGGTTGTGATGGAAATCAATAGGTACGGATGGAGCCTGAGATTCAGTTCCACATGGGTATGGAGAAAGGGAAGGTCAGAAGCTCACTTACCTTTGTTGTCCTGTACGGTAAAGTTCGAGCCACTGACTGCTTCAGGAGCCAAGGAGAATGAGAATTGGTGTCCACTGTATGGGTCATCCTTGTCAACAGCATGCAGGGTCTGAATCAGCTGAAATAGAAACCATAAGGTTGCCCGAAAGGTTTCAGGACCCTAAAGTGGTTCTGACAGTTTTCCAAGAATTTGCTTAGTTTTATAGTTCATGACTTAATTAAAATGATAGCTCTTGAAAAACAATCAGTACATTCTATCCAAAGATCTAATGTGTTAGAAACCCACGGCGCCAGGGTCACTTCTTTGCTGTGGGATCTCCTCTGAAAACTATGTGATATTCATCCCGACCTCATGCCACTATATACTAGACGGCCCCTCCTAAGTGACCATCTGACTAGGCTCCAGTCTCAAGTACCCCTAGGGGGAAAGGTCACCCTGATTGAGGAGCACCACAGAAGAGTAATCCGAAGTCTAAAATGTCTCAGTCATCATTGGTAGCATTGCCACTTAACAAAATGGAAGTACTCTGGGCAGCCTGTGCAAAAACACTGTCTTATGTTCACAGGTTAGCAAACCGGGAAAACAGCTAATTAATGTAAAATTAATGTAAAAAAAAGTCCCACTCTCCCCTGTACATTTGTGCTGCACTTCTGCGTTGACAGAGCACAGCGTCATTTCTGTCACAGGCTGCAGAGACCTGTTTCAGGTGGGTGGCAGATGGGTGCAACAGTAACGCATTCATGAATTTGTACTGCTTTGCAGATGGGCAATGGGAATAAGTAAATCCGTGAGTTATAGGCAATGGGATAATAGGTTCTAGTGATTATTTTCAAGCACACATGCAAATTAAGCTATCTGTTCACCAATAAAGATTTTTTATCCCAGCAACACTGTGACTAATCTATTTTAATGAAAACTTAAAACTGATTTGGAATCCACATCAGTCTTGGAGACTGATGAACTTCCAGTTCTTAAAAACTATTTGTTCTCTTATGCAAGTTAAACATTCGTCTTGGTTATTATTTATGGTATTAATCTCCTTGGCATCCACTTCATAGATAATTCAAGACAAGCCCTCCGCTGTGTGTATCGTCTCAATTATTAGATCGAAATTAATCTGACTTTCAATCAGAAAGTGCTTTTTAAAATACAACCCACCTGATCTGCCTTTGCCTTTTCACAGACAAAGGTCTCATAGAACTCAGCAAACTCTGGGGCGTTGTCATTGACGTCAAGAACTTTAATGTACAGAGGCACTCGGCTGCTTTGCTTTGGATTATCTGATACATAGCAAAAAGAAAGAGATAAGCATCATATATGTTGATTACCATTTCCCCTAGACAAGAACCATTCACTCTTTCAGTCTCATTCATTTGCCCTAATCCCCGGTAGGTGGAGGAGAGAGTTCAGGTCCCAGGGTCAGGCGCTGGTAGCTCACATTTTCCTTTCTCTCATCCACTTAACCCGTATGTCTATTTGAATGCTCATGAAATACGGGCTTACTGGAATCTGACCTAACATGGGCTAGGACAGACAAGGAACGTAATAAAGATAGTGAATTTTAGGTATTTATTTTAATGTGGAGATAAACACGCGAAACATATGAACATACAATGCACCAGATGGCAAAATTAAGCAGAGGGGAAGGATGGAGAGAGATGGAGCTGTTCTGGTGACTGGGATAGCCAGGCACCTTCTCAGAGGCACCTGTTTGTTCAGATGCGGCTGAGGAGGAGGAGTGAAGCCGTGTGAACATTTCTGGATTCCTAGGGAAATGAAAGAGCAAGTAGAAAGACTTTGGAGTGAGAGAAAGGCCTTTATAGAAGCTCTCAGATTCTGAGCTATTGCAGGTGGTTAACAAGCTCTGACAATAGGATTCTTAAGATCTCTAGCGTCTATCTTTCTCATGCTATTCTCCTAAAGTGAAGGTGGCTGCACATAAATTATGGTATGTCTAAATCACCCGTATTTTCAAATATATTAGAGAAACATTGAATTCTAAAACCAGAAAATTTTAGGCGTAAACCTAAAATAATGCGCAAATGACTACTTTAGTAAAAGAGCTAAATTTCGTGATGTTTTGAAAAACGATCTTTTTCAGGGGAAAGTCATTTTGTAATTTTAGTGCTTTTAGAGTTCACTGCTGTTAGCATCCACGCCAGCTCCTTGGCACAAATTCTGAAGACCAAATTCCTATGTAACAAATGTCTAATGAGATAGCCTGATCACTTTCAACGCCAGAACTTCCCTTTGCCCACACTGGTTGGTTGCCATTCCATCCACTCTCCTTCAGTGACGTCATGTCTCCTGAGTTATGGTGTCAAATGGAACTGTAATAAACCATTTGATATGGAGTGTTTCCCAGCAGATATCCAACTGAGATAAAAGTGTTTAGAACTTCAGAAATTAAAAATCAAAACTGAAAGGAATTATACTTCAAAAGCCTATTTTAAACACTAAAATAATATTTTAAAGATTATCCTTTGTTTCTATGTTCTCCTGTATAATGCCGCTCAAAGCTCAATTGAATTTCCATTGAATGAAACAATTTCATTTGAAAAGTTTTTTTTTTTGTGGGGCCCTATTTTTCTTTGCATTTTATGGGGAGTGACGTAAAACTCATCCTAAGGATTTTATTGATTATTTGGTGCTTTATAGTGCTCCATTTGGCAGACTATAGGAAAGTGATACTTTGTAGCTCTTAATTTGGTAAAGATTTTGAAATAGAAATTCTACAGAAGGTTAGAATGAATATCTAAGAGGTGTTGCCCAATGCTTATATTTTTAAAAAATAATTTTATTTATTCAAAGAGTGTTCTTTTAAATCATATTCTGTTCTGTTCCCCAACTCCTCCCAGATTTCTTTCCCTTAAACCAAACAACCAAGTGAAAGAGCAGCCAGGTTGTCAGTCGTCCGTACGTAACTGCTTCGTCTGTGTTTAAAATTGACTCTCCTAGTAGGCAATTAACTCCTCTCATTTCCACAGACAGACTATGAGTCTACTCAGCAGGCTCACAAAAGGTACATTTAATCATATCAAAAAATACAAACAGGAAAAAATAGAAACTAATGGCACCAATGTTATGGAGTAACCAACCACTTTCTGACTAAAGACGCAACTCCATTTATCTTTCTTAGGATTCTCAGTAAGTTGTTCTTAGCCACTTTGTTTTTGTATTTTGATATGACTAAATGTACCCAATGCCTACATTTTGAAGATATACAACCCTACTTATTCCCTTGTTTCTTGTGTGAGAGTCCATTTTTTTCCCAGCTGTTTTTGTGATTTTCTTACTTATAACCTTTGGGAAGTCATATTTACTATGTGCCTATTCTATTTCACTAGAAAGATATATTTTTTGAAAACTCTCTCTCTCTCTCTCTCTCTCTCTCTCTCTCTCTGTGTGTGTGTGTGTGTGTGTGTGTGTGTGTAGGCCCAAAATTTGTGTTGGGCGTCTTTCTCCATCACAACCACCTTACTGATGGAGGCAGGTTCTTACTGAACACTTTACTAGTCTATATAGCCAACTTGCCCTGGAGATCCCATCTCTAGCTCCTGAATGCTGGGATTACAGGCAGCCGCCATATCCACCCATCTTATATGGGGACCTTGGGGATCGAAACTCCAGTCCTACACTTGCCTAGCAAGATCTTTTCCTTCTGGGTTGTCTCCCCAGCCCCGAGAGACACATTCTTATTATTTCCAAATTGCGGCCCTTTCACGGTTTTCATCTCCAGTTAAGGTGAACCATCACACATTTAGAATAACCATTGTGGCAGATCTCTCCCCCAGCACTCTTTCCCTCAACACGTGTAGAGCAGGGTCATCAGTATGAGGGGAACAGCTCTGGCCTTGCTTGAAGAAGCCCTCACTGGGGCTCACCATCAGTGGGGACAGCTGAGGAAGGTTGGACTTACTAATCTCTGTTGCTATCACTGTGATGTTGTGCCACAGCAGTGTTTCCCGGTCGAGAAGTTTCGATGTAAAGATTGAACCATTTCCGGAATCAATGTTGAATATCCGGTCCATATCGGTATGTCTATCCACAGAATACCTGGAAACACAGAGCAGGATTTAGAAAGGCTTTCCTGGATGTTCCCTCTACACATCATAAAACAACCCCCAGGACAGCTCATCTGCTAATTCCTTCTACTTGTGGCGTTTTAAAGCATCACCTGTAACATCCAGGAAAATATTTTGTGATGGAGGAGGGTTAACAGTCTATGTGTTACTTTCATTGGTTAATAAAGAAACTGCCTTGGCTTTTGATAGGACAGCAGCTTAGATAGGTGGAGTAGACAGAACAAAATGCTGGGAAGAAGACAATGAGGTAGTCGCCATGACTCTCCTCTCCGAGACAGCTGCAGGTTAGAATCCTCCCGGTAAGCCACCATCTCATGGTGCTACACAGATTATTAGAAATGGGTTAGATCAATATGTAAGAGTTAGCTAATAAGAGGCTACAGATAATGGGCTAGGCAGTAGTTTCCGCGTAATTATTCAGGGGTAAAGCTAGCTGGGAGGTGGGTGGCGGGAAGTGGCCCACCGCTCCTTCTACAATTTTGATAAATTATATCTTCACACTCAGGCTGAGTAGTACACTCACTAGGCAAGTGGTGTGATTTTAGAGCTCACTATTAATTTCTTTTTTATGTGCAATTAGACTGAGTTTATTTTAATATGTAATTTAGAGCAAGTGTATATAGTAACCATTTCTAGGACTTTACTGTGTGCGCATGTGTCTATGTGTATGTGCTCAAATGTGTATGTGTGTGCATGCACACTTGCATGTAGACACCAGAGGCTGATGTTGGGACTCTTTCTCACTTGCTCTCTTCCTCATTCACAGAGACAGGGTCTCTCACTTGAGCCCAGAGACTGCTGATACAGTTGTTCAGGACAGCCAGCCCGGAGGCAGGGATTCCCAGGGTTTGCCTTCAGTGAACTGGAATTTAAGTCAGGCTGCCACGCCCGCCTGCCCTTTATTTAGGTCCCGGAGGCCCACTCCAGTCCCACCTTTCACAGGTCAACCCATGCACCATTTCCCCAGCATATATCCCTTTTTTGTTTTTAAAAAATTATTTATTTATTTTACATCTTGATCATCATTTCCCCTCTCTCTTCTCCTCCCAGTCCTCCTCCCTTCCTCCCCTCTGCCTACCCTCCCCATCCCATTCACTTCCTGTCATTTTTATTCAGAAAAGGGTAGGCCTCCCATGGATACCAAGAAAACATGACATATCAAGTTGCAGTAAGACTAAGCACCTCCCCTTGTATTAGGAATAGGCAAGGCGACTGGTACCAGGAATAGGGTCCTGAAAGTCAACAAAAGAGCCAGAGACATCCCCTGGTCCCACTGTTAGGAGTTCTGCAAGAAGACCATACTGCACAGTCATCAGAGATACACAGAGGGCCTAGGTCAGTCCCATGAGGGCTCCCTGGCTCTTGGTTCAGTCGCTATGAGCTCCTGTAAGCCCAGGTTAGTTGATGCTGTGATTTTCTTGTGATGTCCTTGACCCCTGTGGTGCTTACAGTATCTTTCCTCCCTCTCTCATCAGCAGGGTTCCTCAAGCTTGGCCAGTTGTTTGGCTGTGAGTCTCTGCATCTGTTTTCACACACTCTCTTGTTAAATCAAGTCTTTTGAGATCTTCAGAATGTTAATATACGTGCTTATATAGGGAATTGATTACTTTTCTGTTACCCATTTTATTTTAAGAATCATTCTGTTTTCAGAAACAAAGGATTAGAGTGGAATGTAATCTAAGTAGGATGGGTTGTCTACAGTGAAGAATTGGGGGTCTCTTCTAAATGCCGTGTAAATCTATTCACGGGCTCCACACAGGGCAGGGCAGCATCATAATCTAAATCATGCTGAACAAAGATGACTCGTTGAATTGAGGAGAACGGCCGTACACTACAGTCACAGGATGTTGGAAGAGCAGCAAAACAAGACTTGAGGAAAATTTGAGGCCCCAGTTTTGACCCGCAGAGATGGAGGACCTGAGAAACATCTGTGGAAAGGTCTAGGCTGAAACTTGAGACAGAGAACCACAGAGACAGCCTGTAGCGATTGTGGAAAAGGACATCCAGTGGAGGGAGGAGGTGTTGAGGACAGTGCCACTTAAGTGTCCCAGAGTGACAAGGACAAGCATGAGGATGTTGGGGCAGAGTAAGGGCTGGAAATGTATTTACGGAGGGCTTTTAGAAATTCAGAGGGTCCAGAATGCTATCTTAGAAACCAAAGATAGACGGGACCTTCAATCATAACACTCACGACAGATTAAGAAATGGTATCCTTCAAAAATAAATTTGTTACTGGCTTTTGACCTACTTTTAAATTTATTTAATTGTGCAATTGATTTTTTGGGATGCCCGTGAGAAGGGAACAAGTATGCACGTGTGTTTATGAATGAAGGGGCATCAAGGGAAGACTTTGAAGAGATTTGATACGTTCAGGTTTGTTATGAAAAACAGTTCTCCATTTCCACTGCATTTTCAAAACTGAAGTCATGGATGGGGGCTTAAAAATATTGGCTTAAAAATTGGCTTGGTAGAAACACAATTGAAGTAAATTATCTAACCAGCTGATCTATTTAGAGTTACAAATGCTCTAAGAAGAGATATAAGTAGTTTGCAATAATGTACAATGCTCAAAATCCTATTTTAATGAATTGTTTGTATTTACAATATGTAAGTAACAAGATACAACAAACGACATATTTTTGCATTGATATTTGTCACAGTAGTTGTCTAAATGACACAGGCATTTGTTTATTGCTTGCTACTCAAACTTCTTTCAGAAGAAATTGATGATGTTCACAGTGGCCATCCTGTCATTTCATTTTAACTTTAGTTTCAATGTATTTAACATAGACTTTTCATCTTCTGAAGGACTCGAACATGTTTGAAAAGCTTTCTGTTGGTTTTGATGTTTCTGCCATGAACCAGCAGTGTTGAAAAACTTTAGGCAGAACACTGAACTGATTTGAACACCTTTCCTCATTTTCGAAAATGAATGATAAATATTGATAGCAAATTGCTACTTCTCAAAGAGGAAGTCGTGGTGAGACATTTAAGAGGAATACATGAGCCGTCTTTCCCTCGTGAGGAATGCCAAACTTCGGGCGTCCTGCTTTGTGTGTCTGTAAGCTGCTGCGGTTATATGGCCATCGTCTGCTCTTTGTCTCGGCCTCCCAGTGTAGTTTTAAGTTTTACAAATAATCATGCTTTTCTATCAGGCCTTAAAATAAATGGGAAACAGTGAGGAAGTTTTAGTTGAAGTCAGCTTTAAATCTTAAAGAGAGGAGATTAACTACTTAGGAAATACCAAAATTTATATTGTCTTTCCTAATTGGGAGATTAAAAATTAATGGAAACCCTAAAATGCCTATATTGTTTGGGAGAGATGATTAGAGATTTCTCCGTGTCGTTATTTTCTCTCCTCTAAAGGATTTCAGTTTATATCACGGATATTTATTGTCCAGAAACATTAACTGTGACCATTGCCCATAGGAAGTAAAGCTGTCAGTCTCTGCATGGCTATAGTGGATCAGGTGACCTCTTCTGGTACTTCACTGTGTTTTTGTGATTAAATGATTTGTAATTTGTCCTCAAGTGAGGGAGATTTATTTATGTGCATGAGTGTGTGTCTGTGTGTGGGCACATGATATCAGGTACCTAGAGAGGTCAGAAAAGGGCGTGGGATCCCCAGGAGCTGCAGTTATCGGCAGGCATAAAACACCTGGTACAAGGGCTAGGAACTAAACTTGAGTCCTCAGTAAGAGCAGCAAGTGATGAGCCATCTCTCTGGCCCTCACACAGACACTGTACATGTAGATATACATAGTGATATGTTTTCTCTTGTGTGTATCGAGACTCTGTGATAAAGTTGTAGTAGGAAATTGTTTTGTAAGTGAAGAGTTAAAGATGCACGCTGCATAGATGACTCAACATTTCGGGAATTATTTGTTCCCCTAACAGCCTTCAGTTGTTCAGTATTTTTGTCTAGACTATTCCAGACTGTGCACAGGCATGTTTTCTTAATGTGAGAATGATTTTGGCTGGGAGGTGGTGGTGCACACCTTTAATCCTAGCACTCAGGAGGCAGAAGCAGGTGGATCTCTGTGCATTTGAGGTCAGACTGGTCTACAGAGCGAGTTCCAGGACAGGCTCCAAAGCGACAGACAAACCCTGTCTCAAAAACTCAAAACAAACAAACAAACAAAAAGAATGATTTTAGCATATAAGGAAAACCACTGGAGCACGCATTGCTATGCCAATATACTATGTACGTTTCTAGACTTAAATCTATATTCATATGTCAAATCCATATGTGCTAAGGGAAGGCTAATAGCAGAAGTCTTTTGAATGAACCAATAGTCAACCCAGCCCGACGAGTTAAGCACTTCCATTCATAATATGGAGAATAATGCAGTGGGTAAAACTGGTATTTGGTTTAAAAACTAATATAAATGTATTTAGCTTAAATTTCCAGAAGATATCTTCTCTTCAAATTGGAAGGACGTTGCTCTATCAGTGAGGCACCTGAAGGTCCCATTTGTTAACTTCTAGCGTTAGCACTTTTAAATTGTCATTAGAATGAGCGTCAAGTAAGAGAGCAGTTGTCAAAGTTCTACAGTGTGCTTGCTATGGGAGTGAGAGCCGCCATTTGTTTCCCCGATTAAGCGCGTTACATTCACATGCGGGAAAAACTGGGGCCCTGGAGCTCACTCGGGGCTGCACTGGTGGATAGAGTCCTCTTTAACGTGTCATGGATCTTTCAACAGATAGATAAAACATGGCTCTTCTGCGGCCTGCAAGCAGAGCGGACATCTGTGTGTTTTAAGATATGAGGGTGTCACGAGATTTGAGTAGAGCGAAGCGGACAGGATGCTAGAACGCATTGGCGTAGCGCACGCGTATCCTTTTATCTGCAATAACGTTTTCCACATAGCAGGCAGAATGACCCTTTAAAACTGTAGCTTGGGATTAGGTAGCTCTTCCAGTCAAAGCTTCCAGATGGCTTCTCACCTCAATTAGATGCAATTCAGGCTTTACCATGAACTATAAAGCCGGGTAGGACCCACAAGCTCCTCTGTGGCACACCGGCCTGCTGCCTCCTAATTGACCTCTCTCTCCCTCTCCTCCTTCCTCTCTCCCCTCTCTTGTCCTCTCCCTCCTTTCTTTTCCCTCTTCTCCCTCCCCATTTCCTCTTCCGTTTTCTCCTAGATACGCAGACCTCTCAGCCACTGCTACAAAAGAGGAGGTCAGCTCTGGTGTTAGCCCTCTTCTTCCTTTTCCCCTTCTGCAGGTCTTCCCCCAGGATTCTACGCCCATCCCTTCATCCCCCCCTCCCCCAAATCTTTACTGCAAAGGTTTTCTGCTAAGAAGGCTAATCCTGCTCACACCATCTTAAACACTTTCCCTATTAATTTGATTCTTAGAATTTCTTCACCGGAGCTATGCCTCTTTCTCTTTTGTTTATTTTTCTCTCTGCAAGCTCACTATGTAGAGGACCTAGCATAGGTGTCTGCTGCCTTCCCTTAGGCAGACAATTGGATGGAGTGTGTATAAGGCAGGTACCCTAATGAGAATATGTCTGTAGACTCACAGGTAAGAGCCTCTACGGATTTTATTTTTTCTGCTTACTTTATCTAAGGAGAATGATTTACACCGTAGTATTCTGATTTAGCACCGTTTTCATTTATTCTGCTGAGCCACTGGCTGACGGGTGGAAGCTGGTTGATTCCAGGATTTGCATACGATTCTAGAATCCCCCAGTTGTCAGGGGCCTCAAAGAGCAATGAGGCTTTCTTGTCACCTGATTTATAGCTCAGGAGCCAGCAAAGCACAGGCAAGACGGAGCTTGTTTACTGAGCATTAGTTGGGATTCTACCCTATTAATTTCTCCAGCCTTTCACAGACAGATCACGAAACAGTTCTTGTTTTTATTTACACATGCACGGGGGAAATTATTCATCTAAACGGAGCATAATTCTGCCTCTAAGTGCTACATGATAGGTCCTCCCACACTTGAGAAGCACGCTGGCTGTCAGGCTCCGTGGCTGTGTTATTTCTGTGTCCCACTCTTTAGGAACTCATCGGACACCTTACAAAGAGCCCAGGTCAGTCAGCTGCAGCACCTTCTGCACCCTCCCTTAAACAGCGAACTCCGGCAGCCCCTCTCATCTTAACGTCTTTTTCTTTCAACTTTTGTGTCCTTGAGGTCTATGCTGTTGCTAAAGCAATATTTATGCAGCGAGCAAGGACAGTTAAAGGTGCTGTTTGGAACCGTGTGTTCAAGAAAACACAGCTGTCTAACTGGAAAAAGGATTCCTCTTTTCTAAAGAACAGGTGGATATTTGGACATAAACATAGACTTAGCTTTGGGAAAGAGATGGGGCTGCTGTGCACTTACTTGACGGGGTTCCTGGCAGCGTCAGGATCCTGAGCTGAGACAGAACCTATGGTCGTGTTTATCTGGGCGTCCTCTCGTATTTGTAGGATGTAGGCCAGCTTGCTGAAGACAGGAGGCTCATCCACATCGTCTACCACGATTCTCACGGTGGCCGAGTCTTTGAAGGGACCCAGGTAGAGAAATCGGGGCTCAACGTGGGGATTGGAGGCTTCCACCTTGAGGGTGTACACTTTCTTCTTTTCGAAATCCAAGAGCTTCGGAAGAAAGCAATGCGGCACACAGAGAGGCAAGGCAGAAACCAAGTTAGTGGAAATCTCTGACCAATGCATGTGATATGGCTGCTTTGGGGAAGGACCACACATTAGCGCATGTTGGGCAGAGGCAGCAAGGGTAAGTTGAGATCAGTATTTTTCCCGTACCATAGGGAATTGGTAGGGAAGTTGTTACACAGACTGTGAAGAACCATGCAACCATGTTAGAAGCACAGCCTGAATGTTTGCTGCCGCAGAGAAGTGGGTACCCAGGCGCCAGGCATATGGGTGGGAAGGGAACCGGACACAGGAATTTGTTGGTCTGCTACCGCGGAAAAGTGGGTACTCAGATACTGGACATTTGGGCAGGAAGGGAACTGAACATAGGGGTCTGGTTCAGCCTCCCTCTCCTTAAAAATACCTTGGGTTTGAGTAGAGGGGGTTGCCAAGGATAGTACGGCAGGCATGAAGTAGACCATTTTGCCAAGTGTTCTCACATCTGGCTTTCCCTGCTGGGTGTTTAAAACTTGTCAGTGCCTGCATCCCCACTCTCACCTAAACCAAACTTTCTCTGGTGGAGATGCTTATCCATAGTTTTAAAACAACTTCAGGCCAGTCTGAGTGGAGCCAGAGTTGTGATCCACAGGTTAGCACAGTGACTCACTCTTGCCCATTCAGACTAAATAAGTTGTTTTTGCAAGTTCGTAAAAGCTTTCCTCACAAGGGCACTGGGCTAATTATTTGCCAAGGAAGGCAATGATGCCCGTTGTCAGAGACCTTTAGGAAAAGATGTTGCTTTTGAAGGCATGGTGAACGCAAATGCATATTGCCGACGCGCAGCCTCAGATGCTATCATGACAAGGCTCGCTAGAAACGCTATTAATCAGGACGTTGGCGAATGCGATTTAGTCGGCTAGGCAAAATTTCAGTTTGAATCTGATAAGGCCCCGAGAAAATTAAAAAGGTTAATGCACACTAATGGGCTTCCTAATCATATCAGGGTCTAAAACATTGGTCTGAATGTCACTTAAGCATGCTTTATTGTGCTCCCAGATATTCAGCTATGTTCTTAAGAGGGAAATTTTTCTTGTTATTTACGTGCACCGTGCTTACTACATTCACCAGCAAACTGCGGCGCGCTGAGGGAGGGGGACGATATTACACTACACATGACAAAAGAGAAATCAATGGAAATGAACCTAAATCGATACTTTCAGCTCTGAAGCACACAATTTGTTGGTTTTAAACCACGACCACACTTTGGGTTAGTGCTCTTGTTGTCAACCAATTTTGAGAGGTCAACTAGCACACAACCAGGCTGGGGAAGGGGAGATTTGATGTCCTCATGTCCTGGAAAGTAGCTGAAGGAGTCCTGTGAATGTCCTCATTTGCTTAATCTGCATATGTTCTCTCTCTCTCTCTCTCCCTCTCTCATGTCACCTTGCTCCCTGCTTGCACTGAGCCTTTTTCCCTCAAAGCATGGTTCACAGTTTGCTTGTACACATTCATTTAGGGGTTCTGTCACTTCCTCGCTGATTCACTCCTGGCCGATAGGTACCAGGGCAGCAGAGATCACCTGTTCGAAGTGCCGTGGCAACACCAGCACCCACACAACGCGAGGCACTGTTGACTTTATTATTTATATTATTTATTTAGTCATTTCTACGTATTCCACCTGTTTCCATTGTTTACTTAGAGGATCTTTAGGAGAAATTTATCGAAAGTATAGAAGCCATGGGTATGTAAAATTACTTTTGACTACTAAAAGTCAATCCAAGAGATTTCAGTGCCTTTGGAATTGGTGTTAAGAGCGAGTAAAAGAAGAATCTGAAGAAATGTTTATTGGAGATTGCGAATGTCCTTGGGAGTCAGACGGAAGCACTTTCATTGGTAAGACATTAAGAGTTTTATCTTGTTCGACAACTGTGTAAAGTTGTAGAGGCACCGATAAATAGTCTACATTCCCCCTACTAAAAGATAGTATTTGGAGTTAAATAAATCTAATAGAGCTGTGTTTACATCTCCTCTCTCTCCTTTTCTATGTGTGCATGATCACTTGTGTGTGTCTGTGTGCACACACATGTGCACTCTGCACATTTGTGTAGTGTCTGGACTTGGACAAGTACTTTACTCAGCAGCTATCTCCTCAGCCCCGGGAGTTGTAACCAGTTTCCATAACAACGCCATTACCTTCTTGACGGTTATAATCCCCTCCTGGGTTTCCTGGTCGGTGATGACATCAAACATGTCTTGCCCTTCACCATCCGTGATGCTGTACTCGATCTCTGCATTTTCCCCCACATCAGCATCGCTAGCTTTGATTCTGCCAATCGGTGTGCCCGGTGGAGAGGACTCGGGGGTCTTAAACTGGTACGTACCTATTAAGCACCAAACAGACAAGTAAGGCAGAGACTGGGAGATATGCTATTTAGATAAGCAGACCAGTGTTACCCACTAGGGGTGCAGTTAAGATCCCCAATGGAGTCCTAACTGCAACTACTACTAAATCTTACATAAAGCATTTAGTTCAGGTTAAGCACTCTATTTTTTTTCCTGTGTTTATTTTTAATATATAGATATCTTTAATAAAGTTTAACATACAAAATGAGCACAATAATAGAATATCAGCAATAGCTTTCTCCTAATTAAGAAAAGAGAGCAAGGATGATAATGATGACAAAGGTATTTTAAATAATATTTTGGCCTGTTGGTTGGCAATAAGTGAAGCTGCAGAAAGCCCAGCCGTGGCTGAGGGGAGGCGGCTTTAAGACCTCACTGTGGGTGGAGATGGATTTATGCTTTCTTCAAAATAATTAACGGTGCCCTAACCTCCTTATGTCTTTACTACCATGATAGACTCCTCCTTCTATTTCATGGCCTGCCTGCTTGCAAATTGACTGTTCTTTCTTGTTCTGTAAATAAGCTCCCAAGTGTGTGGTGTCCTTTGGAGACCTAGCAGGAGAGGAGGTTTCAAAAGCCCCACAGGAAGGCAATAGAGCAGGAAGAATAGAAAACCTAACCTGGACTGACTTGGGGCCAATTACTATGTGTTCTTAACAGGGCCTCTTCCTGACCTTGCTAATAAGAGCTGAAGGCGGAAGCGAATTACAGCAATTTGGAAAAACACCCAAGTAGCTATGATTTGACTAATAATCCAAGCTGTAGCTAGATGCAGAGTCAGGGATGTAGGTAAATACCCCGAGCAATGGAGTTCACTACTCTTTTCCTTTGACTAATTCTTTCATTCTTAATTTCACCACAACATTTTTCTTTATGTAGTATATATATATATATACATACATACAAACATATTTAGCATTAATATATTATGTTTACATAATAATATGTAAATATATATCATTTTTGAGACAGTCTCACTGTGTAGACCGGGCTGGCCTTGAACTCACAGAAACTGGCTTGCCTCTGCTCGATTAAAGGTGTGCATTACCACGCCTGCCAACATTGTTTTATTTTTACTTCTAGCCTAAATCTGTACTTTGTAGATCATGCTCTTTTTAATACCCTTATGTCGCAAAATTAGCTTAAAGACAACCTGTGGCTTTCAGCTTAAATCTGATAATCTTGCAGACCAGTATATACTTAGAATGTGTGTGTGCATATGTGTGTGTATGTATGTGTATATGTGAGTGTGTATGTATGTGTGTGTATGTGTGTGCGAGTGTGCATATATGTGTGTGTAGAAACAGATTGTCTTAGCATTGGTGGTAAAGTAGTGAGCATAGCTGCCTTTTGAAATTTATTCTATTCTTATATCTTATAATTTGCCAGTTATTCATACATGATTTTGAAAAACTCAACCCCCAAACAAACAAACAAGCAACTCCACCGGACTATGGGGTTATTAAAGTACAGGCCTTCAATGAAGCAAATTCTCTGAATATTGTTGATAATAATCACAGAATATGTTCAGTATTTCTCTAGATTGCTTTGCATTCTCTTTTCCCTAGGTTTGGCACACCCTTGGCTAGCCTTCCCAGGACAGAGCGCTGGCGAGCATGCCATTTTTATTTCAGTATTTGTGAAGAAATTTTCAGGATTCTAAAGTTTTTCTCCTGTCTAAATCACAAATTATTAGCATCCAGCCAGCTGATCACACACTTGAAGAATAAAAAGGTGAAATTGTTTCTTAGTGATCACTTGGATCTCCAATCTAAAGGAAACCCATATCAGCTGGTTATTTTTTTTAAAAAATGCCACAGTAGAGTGAGTTTTGTCCTTTCTCCCTCCCTCCCTCCCTCCCTTCTTCCTTCTGTTTCTCCCTCCCTTCCTTCTTTCTTCCCTCCCTCTTTCCTTCTCTCATTCCTTCCTTTTCCCTCTTTTAAAAATATTATTTTTTAAAATTACTTTTATTTCACTGTATGTGTGTGTGTGTGTGTCTGTGTGTGTGTGTCTGTATGTGTGTGTGTGTCTATGTGTCTGTATGTGTGTGTCTGTGTGCGTGTGTCTGTATGTGTGTGTATGCTATGTGTGTGCAGGTGCTCATGGAATCCAGAAGAGGGCATTGTATCTCCTGGAGCTGGACTTTTAGGCAGTTGTGAGGATCCAGCTGAACCTGAGTTCTCTGAAAGAGCATTGAGTTCTCTTATCTAATTGCTGAATTATCTCTTTAGTCCCCTTCTTTTAACAAATGGGGTCCTCCTAGGCTGGCATGAATACCAGCCTGGGAGCCACCTCTGCTGTCCAAGGGCTAGGATTACATATATGAACAAGTCAGCATATCCAGCTCCGTTTTCTACTTAATGATTCAGATAACTTTTTCAGGGGAGAATGGTCACAAAGATGTTTGCTTTAGAAGGGGAAATCGCATCACAACCAGTTCCCACTGGGGTGGCTCGGTGTGAAAGTCTAGTATGATGCTTGACAGAGAGGCAGTATTCATGGGTGTCATTTTCTCTTCTCCCCAGATAATGACAGTGAATGATGTCTGAGATGATTTTCAGTATCTCAATTAACCAGCTATAGAAAACTCTTTATGATTGCAAATAGACTAAGCACATAGCAGCTCCTCTAGCCGTATTTTTGGAACTAGGAAAATAATAAATCCTTCCTCGCAAAGCCTGTGAGCGTTTAACGGAGATTACCTGCCTGATTAAGTTCGTAAAAACACAAAGTTAACTTTTTCCTAATAAATAGCAGCATACTTGTATACATATGCTTTGCTCAGGCAAATTTATGACTAAGGTAGTCATTTTAATAAGGGGAGAGAAAGCAATGATGTTGCTTTTACAGCAGCAGCCATATCAGAAATCGCTCAGCTAATGACCAACGGCAGAACGTAAGGATGCACACTTCCTGAGCATAAGTGGTGTTTGAGCTCATTTTAATAATTTTAATAAAAGTGCCAACTCTTCGTAAGACCAGTGATTTTGACAGTGTTGCCAACACTGAAAATATTCCTCAAGTCGAAATTTTACAAAAGCATATTAGAGAAATCTGTTCAATCAAATGTCCCTACTCTGGGGGAAACGGGGTGGGTTGTCATTGACATCTGTCAGCGTGATGTTCACGGTGGTGGTCCCTGACAGGCCTCCCATCTGGCCGCCCATGTCCTTGGCTTGAATCACCACTTGGTACTGTTCTCTGTTTTCTCGGTCCATGTTGTGCAGCGCTGTCTTGATGATACCTATGGATGCGAAATTGAAATTCAGAAGTGGAAGGGGAGGCGTTAACGGTATTTTATGGAATCATTTATTTATGCAAACAAATGTAGACTGTCACCCACAATATGCAAACCACTATGCAGATGTCACTGTGATATAAAGATGATTATATGCAGCCTTCCTAGCGAAGGAAATTACAGTCACACAGGGGGAGAGGCACTCATTAAAAAGCCTGTAATACAAAGGGAATAAAAACAAGCGCGGGCAGAAGCCAGAGCAAACGAGACCACAGGTAGTACAATGTAAGTGTCATAAGGTGACATTGTAAGGTATAACTGGATGGAACATGAGAGGGCACACCACACTTGCTGCTGGGTAAGAAGTATTGGGGTGCAGTCTGAGAGGGTGTACTCAGAAAGCCATATGCCTGAGCTGACACCAGAGTGACGCATTATCAACTTGGCTAATTGCACCTCAAGAGTACCTACCGTAATGAATGTTCTGTGGGCTTTAGAAGCCACACAACTATGCACTAAGAAAAATGGCCTGAAGTCCCTCCCAGGTATGATCTTGTGTGATCCTGGAGAATTTGGCTTTTCTTCCAGAGAATGAGAACTCAATCCCAGCGATCCCTACAGCAGCCAACAGTTTAGTGATAGGTTAAAGTTGTCTCTACGGCGAGGCCGTCAGATAACGACTTGAAAGAGTTTCTCCAAGTTTGTCTGATCTCTGTAGAGTGTTTATGCTTAAATTAACTTCCTTTTCAAAATCCCTGGAGTAGGCTTTGTAACCCTCTCTGGTCTCACATTCTCGTGCTGAACCACTAATGAAGCTGAAAATATCTTTTCTTCCTTCTTAACAAGAATGCCTCAGACAACAGGTCAATTTTATTCCCATAGTCTTGGCTTCAAGGAGCAGCGGCTTTCTCTTCTCCAAATAATGGTTCTTCTCTATTTAAACACGGGAAATCACCTTCGCCTTTTGTCCTTTAAGCAGGGTAATTCTAATTTTTCATTCTCATTGTTTTTCAACTCAACATTTTCTCTCTCCTTGGGATTCTTTCCAGGTTCATTCACCTCTTAACACATAGATTTCTACCTGGATATAGTAACCCAGAAAAGCTCTGGCTTAAAAATAAAGAACGTTTGAAAAATATACGAGAGGAACTTGATTCAAAATATGTATAGAATCTACTGTACAATACAAATGCTTTGTACTGGAAAATAAACCAGCAGATAGCATGGTGCTTTTGACAGAGGCGCCTTTGTGTTCTGTATTATATGATGCGCTTGTGTTCCACATTGTGGAGAGGCCTCAGTTCCTCCGTGCTATTTATAGCCTCGCAAGCACATGCTGCCAATGGGTGGTTTGTTCTGAGTTAACCCCCTCTCAGCCCAGATGCTCCTGGTTAACATCAACTAACTTGACTAAGCATTTCAAGAGGTGCCTGAGCCCCAAACATCCACAAAATGAGGGGAGACAGCAAGAGACGGGAACGAGAGAAACACGGGCATCGCAGCTCTCAGAACCATGTCTGGCCTCCTGACCAGAGGGCAGGACTGAGCCCTGGATTGACTGCCTCCTTCCCTGACCTGTGATCTGCTGGTGGGAAATGAGATGGAAGATAGTTTTTTTTTTTTATGTTAATCTACTGTCTTCTCAGATTGCCAGCTCTCTGAATAAAGCAGTTTTAAAGATTCAGTTCCTGTCTCTTCTCATTGGCAATTGTGACAGGCAGCAATGAGTCCAGCATTCCACTTAGACTTTGCAGGCAAAAATTTAGAAAAATAAGATGCTGTAAAAAAGAGTCTATCAATCTATTGGACCAGGGATATGTTGGACAGGACAGGGTAGGCCATGGCATCAGAATGAGACCAAAATCTCAGTGGTGTGACCGAGCTATGGCTCAATTCTTACTCAGGCTCCAGATAGGCACCCGGGGATCTCTGCCCATAGTAACAGTGTGGCATCTGGGCTGAGGCCCTATCTCAACAAGGGTTTCCATGATCACTGTGACCACGGGTAGGGAATGTGACAGATTGTGCACAACTGTGCTTGGAAGGGACTTATCTCACTGCCGCATTTTATTTGTGCAAACACGTCCCATGGCTATCCTCTACCTAGCTTCAGAGCAGAACACACAGAGAGATGTGGCACCATCAAGTAACCAGGAAAAGAGGAAAGAGGACTCAGGATTTCTGTGAATAAGGCCAACCATTCTCAGAAAGGGCCACTCCTTCAGCTTCATGCCAAACTCGGTGGGAAAAGGGAGGAATGACTCTATCCTATACGTGTGCTGTGAAAGGCTCATTGTCCTTTCTCTTTATTTAAATTATCTGGGTGTCACGCTTACAAATAAATCATTAGAGTTTGGCAGAGGAACACAAGGAAAATCCAATCACGCTGATTGTTTCTTATTAAACAATATGCTAGGGCAGCTGAGCATGTCAGTTAAAATTACAGAGCATAGGCGAGGAGACGCAGAAAGTATTCTAACCTGTTTCCGACTCCACTGAAAAGTAGGGCTGTCCTTGCAGGATGCTATAGACAACTTTAGCGCTGTTCCCATACGTTGGGTCGTCAGCATCCGTTGCAGTGACCTGGACTACAAACGTGCCTGCAATGACAGAAAAGTAACCGAAAACAACTTGGTACGTGTGCATATGAAGAAAGCATGATCTTAGTTTGTTTAAAAATTAAGGTACATTTTAGTGCATACATGTGTATCTGTGTGCGTGTGATGGCTCACACATGCTACTGTGCATGAATGGAGGCCAGAAGACAATTTATAGAAATAATTTCTTTCTTTCCATTCTGTGAATCCTGAAGATCAAATGTCGGCCACCCGTCTTGGAAACAAATATCTTTGTAGAGAGCCATCTTGTTATGCTGGTTCTTTTTTTTTTTTTTTTTTTTTTTGTTAGCTGGACACAAAATAAAATTACCAGGAAGCAGGAACACAATTTAACCGCCTTTGTTGAACTGGCCAGTTGGCATGTCTCAGGGGCATATTCCTGACTGATGGCTGATATGGAAGGTTCCAGCCCACTGTGGGCTGTGCTACCCCTGGGCAAGAGATTCTGGATTCTGGATTCTGAGAAAGCAAAATAAGCAAGCCATCTAAGGCAAGCTAGTAAGTGTCACTCCTCCATGGTCTCTGCTTCAGTTCCTGCCTCCAGGTTCTCATCTTGATTTCCTTTGATGATAGACTGTAACCCCAAAGTCACAGTCTTTCATCACAGCAATATAAAGTCAACTAGAGTACCAGCTTCCATGACAAAGGAGTGGAGAGTCACAGTACAATGTATGTTGTTGGGAAGCCATTGATCCTTGACTTGAAAGGGATCAGATTCACATCAATGGATGCTGTATGCAGTAGGTTAAAGAGAAGGGCAGCCTTGGGTAGAGGTGAGTCCTGCCCATCTCCTATGATGGCATGTGGCCGGACTGTTGCTTCAAGGGTTCTTTCAAGTTACTTAGGACTGAGGTAGGTACCTTGAAACAATCAGCCTCTTGAATTACTTTCTCCACAGGAATTCTGTGAGGTGTTGTCTAGTGGGTGGCCACTTGCAGTTTTGCTAGAAATTCTGTTTCTCTTGGACTGCAGTGTGTCACATGAAGCCACAGTTGTGTAGCTGCTGTAGCATTAGTTATACCAGCCTAGGGACAAAGCTGAACAGGACAGACAACCACTAAGAAGCCAGGATCCAGATCAAATTTTTTTCCAGAGATTTAAGTACTATGATCAGCAAATATCTTCATTATTTAAACTTGTTTGAGTCAGGTTTCCTGTTATGGGCCCTTTAAATGTCTGATAATTCTAAGAGGTTAACAGACTTTGAGCCTTTAATTTCATGTGTGTGTTTGCATGTCCGTTACATGAGTCAGAAGTTCCGAAAAGGCCCTCTGAGTAAGGGCACTCTATGGCTGCCTTTTGCTATTCCTATCATAGAAGCAGTGGTTGTCCTGCTTTTGAGAAGGGCAGGGAAGTTCCATGCAGAAAATAGGAGAATTTTGAAACTGCTTTTGTAATATCTAACCATTTCATTTATTAAACAAATAGAGTGCACTGTGCTAGGGTTGAATGTGTCGGCTCCCATTGTATCGTGCTGAGACAGGAGATGCAGTACCCACCTATACAATTTGACAGGTTAAGTGGCCAGAGTGAGAGCCTCCTGGGACTTCATCGGAAGAGTTAATAGAAGTCAACAAACACCCAAATTCTTATTTGCATTAATATAAGTTCTGCGTGCCTTTGGAATGTGATTATCTGGTGTTCGAGGCAGCCTTTAGGAGCAGCTACGGAAGGAGAGGCTCTACGCCTGTTTTCTTATTTAATCCTCATGATTATCTTTTGGGAGTAAACTTTTATTATTTATTTCGTAGATGTGGAATTGGAGGATCAAAGAAATGAAGATCAGATAAATCAAGTAATTTGCCTAAGGCTACACTGCTGGCTCTTAGTGGAGACAGTTTCTAATTCAGGTAGTTTTGATACTGAAGTACACTTTACCCTTTTGCTGTTGTCCTATTATATATATATATATATATATATATATATATATATATATATATGAGACTCCTTTATCTATGCTAATAATGATTCTTTAGACATGCATTTTGGGCTTTCCCCCAAATATTTCTAACGTATACTTAATTCTTTTCTGGCTTCAAAAGTAAGTAACAGTCTCTAAGAGGAATGCAGGGCATTACAATTTGTTTGGGATGCTGCCAGTGGCAAAGATAAATATCTGTCTTTAATTCTTCCTTTTTTGCTTTTTTTTTTTACCACCTCCTCCAATTCATCCAAAAAAATTCATTAAAAATAATTCCTGCTTCTTTCTTTGCTCTGATGATTGTTTCAGATTTTTCTAACAGACCTAAGTGGCATCAAATAATGTGATGGTTTCTTCCTCGGGGGGAATGATGATTTACAGTCACTTCTCCGGACGGAATATTTTTCAAATTTTGGACCTCTGAACACCAATATATCTCCTATCTACTTGATGCAACCAGAGAAAAGTTATGCTGTTATTTCAGCCTTTTTGAAGTTGGCAGAGTGAAAATAGAAACCACCTTTCCCTTTAGCAGTTTGGGGGTGTCACTGTGTTTGCCCTGTGAGATATTTTAAAGCTTCTAAGTATGGGAGCAATAGAATATCCTCCTTTCTTTGAAGCCCGTTTACCTTCTTCTAGCTTTAGCAAGTTAAGGTCACACAAATTAAACCTAAAATTGGTAGAGAACTTGTGCATACAATAATAACCCTCTGTATGAAATCTCATGGACATCTTTACTGTTAGTATATATATATATATAAACTGTTACTGTTTATAGATTTGAAAAAAAATTTCCATGAAGTCTTTCCACCAAATTCAGTTACTTAACACAACTGCCAGTGGTTTTTTTCTTATTAAAACAAGTTTTTATAACTGTGGTGTGTGTGTGTGTGTGTGTGTGTGTGTGTGTGTGTGTGTGTGTCTGTGAGTGCCACAGCCTGGCTGGGGGTCAGAGGGCTTTTTTTTGGAATTGGTTCTCTCTCCACTTTTTGGTCAGGTATTGAACTCAGGTTGTCAGACTTTGGAGGTAAGTACCTTTACCTGCTGAATCATCTTTCTGGCCCCGTCAGTACTTTTGAGGCTGGACTGTAAAGCCAGGCTTTAATTCTTAACTGGGAAGATTGCCCCCTGACCCAGACAAATTGTGTTGTTGGCTGAGGGCAATAGAGTAAGTAGCTGTCTTTCAGTCCAAGGAAGAGGAGGAGAGACAGCAGGTGAGGTGGTTTTCCTGGCTCCCTCCCAGTCTCCCCCCTACTGTCACACCCTTAGGTAATGCTGTCTTCTTATGGTAGTCACAAGATAAGACTAGGGTGACATTAGACCTTGGGGTACTCTTATGGAAAGGACACATGGTAGTTTGGAGATGTGGCTTCTACATTCTTTCAGTTAGTTAAATTTGGCTCAGGGTTCTCCCCTTGGTGGAGCCCCCACTCTGCGGAATCTCGTCTCACTCACCCACGTCAGCCATCTCGGGGACTGTGGCTGTGTAAACGTCCTTGGTGAATATTGGCTCGTTGTCATTGATGTCGTGGATCTTGATGATGAATTCCGACTCAGGCTCTACGGGTCTCCCTGTCCTTCTGTTAATGGCTTGAGCGCGAAGGATGTAAACGGGTTTTTCTTCCCTGTCTAGTCTCTTCGTGGCCTGAATGTCGCCTGTGTTTTCATTGATAATGAAGAGATCTCCTGCCCCATCTCCTGAAAGGATATATTTAAGTGATCCATCTCCTCTATCCTGGTCTGAATGTAACTAGTGTAGGGAAAAAAAAATTAAAGAAAGTAAAAGTCAAGCATGTGATCCTAAACTGTTTCGATTTCACCATGCAATCTATTTTAACTGCTTGCTATTTGATTATCAACAGTCTCCAAAGGCAAGTACAGCTTTTCTATTTTAAACTACCTGCATAACCCTTTAATAGAAAACACCACTCATTAATGAATGCATTTCTTAATCATTGAATTTTCTAGAATGAAACAGAAAATTTGGCAACCTTTCTTATTTTGAAGGAGGGAAAACTGAAGACAGAAGCAATTTTAAAAGCCCAAGATTGTCCCGCGCTACCGTCTCGCCAGCAAGAACGACGCGGGGCACTTAGGATACTTCTGCAGTAAAGCTTTAATGCCTCTTGAGAGGGAGAGCATCAGCTTCCAAGGCGGAGACCCCGAATGAGGGGAACCCAGCCCTTATAAAGGAAACAGTCCTCGCTTCTGACGTGTCACTCTTCAATTGGTCCACTGCCCATTATCCCAGATGATGCCTCGGGAGTAGGCAGGGACGCAGCGGTAGAGAGTTACCAAGCACGTGCGCTGGGATTAAAGGCGTGTGCTACATCACCTTGAACTCACAGAGATCTGCCTGTCTCTGCTTCCCAGGCATAGGGGCCAAAGGCCACTACCACGCCTTGAGGTCACAGAGGTCAATCTGCCTCTGCCGCCCAGGCATCAGGACTAAAGGCGTGTACCGCCACACCTTGGGGTCACAGAGGTCAATCTCTACCTTTGTTCCTAGAAGCAATGGAGAATGTGGTCCGGCCCTCCACACAAGATCATGTAAATTAGACTGGATGAATCTTTTCAGTACGGATGTCAGATCCTGTGAGAGGTCTTCCCTAGTCCCTTTGCACACACAAACATTTTCCAAGTGTCCCACTGCTTAAAAGACATGTGGGTATCATCTGCATTTTGATGAATTATGGAAGCTAGGCAATCACATCAGTGGATGGAGATCATAATCCATTTTCTGGGGAGAAGTGATATATGTTTGTTTGCCTGTCTATTTCAGTTTAAAGCATCCAAGAGACCTCCCCAGTGCTGCTTTCGGCAGTGCCTTGAGACCACGTCACCAGGCAGTCCATCATTTCCTGGGACAATGGTATTTGGCATATCTGGCATTTGGATTTTAGTAGGAAACAAAAAGAGGCCTTCTGATGCGCAGAGATGGCCTACAATTGAAACAGTCTGCCTTATGAGTTAGTGAGACCTGACCCTCCACCCCAGCTCTTGAAATGATACAAACAGAGGTGATGAAGATTCACTGTCACAGTCAGTGGAAGATTCACAGTCAGTGGTCCAGAGGAAAGAGTGGAATTAAGTGAATGTCTGGCGTTCCAAGATCATCACCTGATGATCCTAAGTTGGAGAAGCGGTTCCTGTTTCCTAACTCCTAGATCACCTTTCAGAGTCGAGTTCCTAAAATCTTCTTCCCCACCCTAGCAAAAGTTTAGGTCTCCTAGCAGTTCAAGTCCATTCACAAATTTTCAGTGTGTTTCATTGTTGCTGAGGGTGACCATTTAACAGTCAGAGTAGCAGGCATCTGTGCTCACAGACATGTTCGTTACAGAATCTCCTTACAGTCTTCATACATAGGAACTGGGTGACTGTGGTAACCACAACAAGTAAACATCCATGGGCTCTGATTAACACTGCATACGCTTCTACAGCAGTGGTTCTCAACCTTCCTAAGTCTGTGACCCTTTAGCAGGTCCTCGTATTGTCGTGACCCCCACAGCCATAAAATGATTTTCGCCGCTACATCATAACTGCAATTTTGCTATTGTCACAAACTGTAACATGAATCTGTGTTTTCCTATGGTCGTAGGTGACCTCCATGAAAGGGACATTCAACCCTCAAAGAGGTTTTGACCATAGGTTGAGAACCTCTGTTCTAGAATTCCTACTCTCAAAGCAGAAAGGAACTGAGATGATCTAAGCAGTTTCCTAAAATCATCTTCTGTGGATTATCTACTACACAGGGTACAGAGGGAAGGAGCTCTGTGTCCTGTGTGCTTGGGAAATACTTAATCTGACTCCTTCTTGGAGTAATCTGCTAACACATGAAAGACTATGAGGGCCTGAATGTCAGACTTTCTGTGGCATGATTTTGTTTATATGGAGCGTTAGTGTTCAATGCAATGTTCTTTGGGTATGACCTGTGACAGCCGTCCTGGAAAGTTTCTTTTGTAATCCTGAGTATCTTATTTGTCACTGTAGAAACAGCAAACCCAAAGTTCCCGTTAATGTAGTGTTTCAAAATCACACCCAGCTCAAGTAAGAGTCAAAGACGAGAGAACCTGGTGGCAGGAAGGTGCCCTGCAGAATCTTTGGTGCAGCGTCCCCATTTCTGGAGCGACAGAGACTGTGTCCAGTGCCGCACAGCTACGCTGAGTTAATCACGGAATTGGAGAACGAGAATATTATTCATACAATTAGTAGCTTTGAAAGCAATTTGGCAGAAATAATGGAAGATAAAATGCGAACAGGGAGGAAATTGCTTAGAAGTGAGACAAACGCCATAAGAAATGTAAAACAAGAGCCCTCTATGATTTGTGTAATGTGATATGCCAAGGAAACGCCGCAACCACCCTGACATAGAAAGAGTCGCTAGGGAAAAGTTAACTCTCCGCTGACAGATTCTAATGACTGAAGAGCGCTCTTAAAAAGCCATTTTATTAACTCAAAAGCAGAACAAGCCCCGCTCATGTCCTTTGGTTGCATGGTCCTGGGCAGCCGTGGTGGGCGGCCGTGGTTGGCGGTCGTGGTCGGCAGCAGGGTGCAGCATGTGGGATGGGCATCTAAGCCCTACGTCCAGGTCACGTTCACTGTGTCCCTCGCCAGGTGTGAGACCACAGCAGAGTCAATTAACCTCCCAAGCCAGGACCCTTCTCAGCAAAATGAGGATCATAAGGGCTGCAGGACAAGCGGCTGGGAAGCACTAATTAGAGGCTATATACAAATACCTCATTAATTGCCACATAAACATGCAATAAAAGCACGGTACGTGTTTTATGAATTATAAAGAGCCATCTAAGTGGAAGATAGTCCAGGAGCGTGAGCATTAGCTGTGGATTTATCGTCGGCATGTTTTTGCTCTTATGACTTTGAGAACTTGGTCTGAGGACCATAGAAACCCAATTTTTGTAAGCACTTCCTATCTCTCAGGTAAAATCTGTTATGAAAAGCCAGAATTCTTCTATTTGGTGGCAACTGCTGTCTCTGCATGTGATTTATTCTACGCTTTATTCCACTAGATCATAGACTCTCCTTGGCTGCTTCTTCCATCATCTTCAGTGTGTAATTGTTGCACACCCAGTCGGCGACTACCACATCCGGTCACAAGATTTATGCAGGTAAAAGTAATCAGGGAGTTATTTTTAGCTGTCAGAAGCGGCCATTTCCATGAATTATACTACAAACACCTGAGACCATAGAGAGGCAGAAGCAGGGGATGCTGGCAAGTGTGAACAGGGACTGTGTTGCAGATCACAGCTATGATTTATCAATATTTGAAAACCAGTGGGGAAATGCATCTCTTCGCTCAGGCCAGGCCTGATAATAGAACAACTTAACCTCCTCCCTCCTCTCGGCCCTCAACATGAGCTTTCTGACTCTGATGGTGCAAGTGCAGGCCACAAAAGCCCGCATCTCTCTTTACTCTCCTCCCTTCCGCGGAGCAGCCCTGGGGCCAGCTCTTTCCTCTATTCTTGGGAAAGAAAGAAAACAGAAGACTCCGCTGCCTGTGAAAGTCATGGCGGCAAGCAGACATTAGGGCTTCATTGAGCACTTAGATTTTAATTGGAATTTTTTTTTTTGTGATGTCATTCATCATGGCCGCTGGAAGAGACAGAAGTTAAACAACAACAAATGAAAGGTTGTGGGTTGCCCGAGGCATATTTTTACTAATTTCAGCGTAATGTGCCTGTTCCATTTAAGTTTAATCATCTGGTTCACTTTTAATGTTTCATCGTCAAGTAAGAATTAGCCCCTTCCCTCCTGAAGTCTCATCCCACCTGTGGCCGGCAGGGTTTCTCAGTAGTGTATCTCTGACACTTTTAGCCAGAAGGTGCTCTGACTCCATTTCTCTACTCACTTTCCCTTCTTAGTTATTTTTTTTTTTTAAAAAAAACAAAACAAAACAGCAAACGTAGTGTCTTGGAAAATAAATATAGGATCTCTGTCGCATGGCCCCATGGAGCGTGTCACCAGGCAGTGGCAGCATCATTGCCTGCGGGGCTGTCCCTGGGAACAGAGCATCCTTTTATCAGCCACATGGACCAACTTGCAGCTTAATTTTGAATTCAATTCAAGGGCATAGCATTAATTGTATAGATTTTTAGTAGTCTGTGAAGCCAGCTAATGCTGCTCTATTACTCCTGTTTCTGTGTGCCACTTGGCGAATCTCTGAGTCGGTGTCCAAATTGAATCTTCTAAGCACACTCACGGCAGAGATGGAAGACAGAGTCTCAGCCTAAGATTCCCAAGATGGCATGCATAAGTGCCTGCAACAGGCAGAAGGGAGCTTATGGATGGGGATATGTGCAGGTTGTCTGAAAGAAGACCCCGGAAGAATGTAGTGTGGCCTTTTAGGAAAGGGACAGTTGCTCACCTGAGATGTCCCAGGACAACCGGAGAACAACTGCAAAAACCAGATGCTGCCCATTGGGACTGGGAGGGAAAGAAAGAGCTGCTGTGGAGAGAGAACATCACTTTTGTGCTCGGCAGATTGAACGTCATCTCACACTGGATCTTAGCCGAAAGTCTGAGAAGCCATGAATATTGTTTTGAACTAGGAAGTGAGTGTATCATCAATTTATGTCAAAAGGAGGATTACCTGCTATTATTATACATGTTTGTATATATTTGTACATTTTCCTATATATTGTCCTGTGGTGGTTTGAATGAGAATGGCTCTCATAGACTTTGTATATTTGAATGCTTGGTCCCCAGCTGGTGGAACTGTTTGGGACAGATTAG